GTAGTGAAGAGTTGCCAAGAGACCCTGTATTTTTTCTCAGATTCCAGCCAAATATCCTATACTTCTCTGACCTGTTCTGTGATTGCTGTACGTAAAGGGTGGCATTCATTTTTATACAAATACAAGTAATACCTATGAATATCTATGGAGTATAGAAAAAAGTACATTTTGAAATGGATCTAACTTGACAATAGGCAAAATTTTAAAATGCTCACTGTTAAATATAGTTATAGGAATTGGTCCTTAGCTCCCTCAGATATAAATTAAATGAACCATTTTTATGTGCCTGTACCACTGCACTATTTATTCCATATTTTAATGTAAGTTAAAAATAGCATACTGTCTATTACTAATATATAATAAAATCAGTTTAACCGTTTAGGCAAGTTTATTTGGAGAAGTTGGAGAATAAATGAGTTCATGAACTAGAATTACTGTTGCTTTGTTGCCTAATTTATAACTTTAATAGACATAGGCTGAAGTGATTCCATAAGGTTAAATTTAAAAAGATTTGATTTTATTCTATAAAATCCTCGTATGTGATTTTAATTTATTCAACAGCTAAAGAAATAGTAAGTTTGTGCCTGAATTGAAGAGATGAACTGGGACACATCTGTATAATCTGGGCAGTGGAAAACTAATCAGCCAGTAGTTGCTAATGCTAGCGCTTGGGAGATGTGGAAACTCTTGTGTAGTTTGAAAGTCTGAGACTTGCTTATTTTTTTTTTTTTTTAGAGACAGCTCTTGTGTTTCTAGGTTCATGTTGATTATTTCTATAAGGTTTCTTTAAATTATCTTTTTGTATTTTCACTTGATCTCCCTAAAGAAATTGATTCTGTATATCTGTGTAGTCTAGGATATTTCAGAAATAAAGGTTTTAGTTTTCCTTCTAGGAAAATACTTTTTAGGCAATTACAGAATAGACCCTTTTCCTTTGAAAATGTATTGAATCAACTGAATATGCAGTTGAAGAATTTCTTAAACAGTATTAAGGGTTTTATAGGTTTGGCCTCATTTTTCAGCTTTTACCATGATATTCATTCTCTGACTTATCTGCCAGGAAAAGAGGTTTCTAGGGATGTTTTATACCACACTATAATGAGGGTGGAAATGTAGTATGTTTAAAAAATAATGTGGTTTGAAATGTTCGGAGTTAAACTGTTTAGTATAGAAACTTCTTACCATTTCTTTCTTTCTGGCTGGTTTATGTTTGGATCAGATATCTGTTATTAAGATAGTAAAATCTAATTTCAGTATAAAATATTTTGGCCTGTTGTAATTAGTTTTATAGACAGATAGTTAAAGTAAGGAAGAAATAATAAGGATGCTAAGCTCTTTGGTAAGCATAAATTCTCTAATTTATACACCAAGGTTCACCAAACCTGTGGGCTTACAAAAGAATAATAGGGTAAATTGATATACACTGACACAGAGATGTAGCCACAAAATATTTTTAATGAAGGAAAGATGCAGAACAACACATATAGTGTTATTGTAATCTTGTTAAATAAACAGACCACCACTCTGCATATGTGTGTAAATAGAAGTCTAAAAGAACCAACTGCTAACTTACATCAATGGGGTTTTTTTTGCTTTTAACACTATCATTAGCATATTATTTTGCAATTGAAGATATAATATTAATAAATCTGTTATGTTAGCCTGTCCATTTTGAATAGGAAACATACATTTGTATAAGTTATGTATTTTTATATACTGTGTCACAACAGTATACTGAATTAAAGAGCATTACCTTTTATGGAGAGAAAAATCAAGGCAAATTTGCACAGATATAAAATGACAATTTAGAGATTCTAAATCAAAAGATTTTCCCCAATCCCCTAAATATATGTGAACTGTGTTTTTTTTTCACAGGCCCTTTGTCAAGCTGAGGAAATTCCTTTGTGTTCCTGGCTTACTGAGATTTTTTAAATCATAAATGAGTGCTGAGTTTCATCACTTGCTTTTTCCACACCTAAGAGATGATCATGTTTTCCTTAGTTGGCTAACATGGTGAATTACACTGATTGATGTTTGAATGTTGAAACAGCCTTAAATTCCTGGGATAAACCCCACTTGGTCATGATGTATTACATTTTTTATGTATTGCTAAAGTTGACTTGCCAAGACTTTTTGTGTGCCTATTTCCAAAAAGATACCCATCTGTTGTTTCATTTCTTATAGTATGTTTGTCTGGCTTTGGGGTCAGGGTGATGCTAGCCCAGTGCAAGTGGTAGGCCTGTGTCCATCCCCTCTTCTCCCCTTTTCTGTACAACTGGCATTATTCCTTCCTTAAATGTTTGAAAGAATTCAACAGTAAAATCTCCTTAGTCTGGAGTTGTCTTGGGGCAGAGATTTTAAAGTTTCATTTCAATTACTTTACTAGATGTAGGTCTATTTGTGTTACCTGTTCTTGAATGAGCCTTAATATTTCTGTCTTTTCAAGGGGTTTGTTCATTTTGTTTTAATGGTTGAGTCTAGGGCTGTAAAGTTGTTTATACTATTTCCTTTGGCCCTTTTTATGTCTGTAGAACTTGTAGTGATGTACCCACTCTTATTCCTGATACTGGTCATTCATTTCTTCTCTCTCTTATTTTTATTGATGTACCTTGACAGAGCTCTATCAGTTTTACTTAAATTTCCAGAGAGCCAGGTTTTATAGTTATTATGTGTATTGTTTGACAGTTGTTCTGTTTTATCATTTTTTTTCTGTTTTGGTTTAATTTGCCCTTTTTTAAATTTCTTAATTTCTTAGATCACCAATTTTAGATCTTTCTTTTAGTAAAATAAGCATTTTTAAACCTACATATTTATCTGTACGTATCATTTAAACTGCATCCCACAAATTTTGATATGTTGTATTTTTATTTTCATTTAATTTAAAATATGTTCTAATTTCCCATGTGATTTCTTTTTTGATCAGTGGGTTATTTTAAAATGTTTATTGTTTAAAGTTATTATTGTTTAAATTCTGAAAATTTGAGGATATCCCAGATGTTTTCTATTATTAATTCTAGTTTAATGCTGTTGTATTTAGAAAACATACTTTGGATAATTTAAATCCTCTTATTTTTAATGAGTCTTTTCACATGGCTTCATAGTATACTCTTGGTCTTGGTAAATATTCCATGGGCACTTGGAAATAATACATACTCTGCTAAAGTTGGATGGAGTATTCTGTAAATGTCAGTTAGGACATGTTGGCTAAAAAAAAGTTCAGCTCTTATATATCCTTGCTGGTATTCAGTCTGCTTTTTCTGTTAGTTACTAACAATTTTACAATCAGTGCATACATATTTTGCATTATTATATCCTTTTAATGAATTGACCCCTTTTTCATTATGAAATATTCAGTGTTTATTCAGGGTAATATTTATTTTTCTGATGAACACTTTGTATAATATTCACATAGCCACTCCAGCTTTCTCTTAAGGATACAGGTTTTCCATCCTTTTACAGTTTAAACTATCTCTGTCAAAGTAGGTTTCTTGAAGGCAAAAAAAAAATTGCATCTTTTTCTTAAGTCAAATTTAATAATGTCAGCCCTTCAAATTGGATTGTTTTTAGCATTTACATTTGATGTGATTGTTGACATTGGGTTTAAATCTGTATCTTACTATTTTTTATCTGTTCGTTGCACCTCTTCTTTTTCTCTTTGCCTGCTTCTCTATTTTAGCATCCATTGTATTTCCACAACTGGATTATTAGCTTTCTGCTTTGTTTATATTTTCGTGTTTGTCTTCTGCATTTAACTTAACTATGCTCTATTGTCAAATACTTTATCCCACTTCACTTACAACGTGATACGTTTACAATAGTGTTCTTCCATTTTCCCCTTCAGTCCTCCATATGTTGTGGTTATACTTTTTATTTCTATGTATTTTATAATCTCCCAAATATGTTATCATCGTTGTTGCTGTTATTCTCAATAGCCAATTATCTTTAAGTTTATTTTTAAAAACGTCTTTTTTATTGCCAACATATGTACTGTTTACAGTGCTCTTCATATTTTTGTGTGGACTATGATTTCCATCTCATTTTCATTTTTCTTAAATAATTTCCTTTCACATTTCTTATAGACTTTTAGCTTTTATTTGTCTAAAAAAATGTTATTACAGTTTCTTGAATTTTGTTTTGTCAATATTAAGTATTTCTATTCCTAAAGGTATGAAACTAATAGGTAACATAAAGGATGAGGAAGAAAATTGCCATGTCTAAACTCGAAAAGGTTGTAAGTAAGAACTTAACAACCTCCATAGGATGTAAAAAGATGACTTCAGAATTAGGAAATCTAAAAGCTAACAAGCATAGTAATTAATAATTAGAATAGTGAAAACTAAAATTAATTATTATTCCTTTACAATTATTAGGACAAAGAGGATTAGGATATTGAAGAGTTTATGTCGTGTTGGCAGGGAGGAGAAAATGCAAGAATCTCCATGAACAGTATGGTATGTGGTGGCCTACTCATAGGTGTGCAGATTGCTAGTGGTCTGAAGACTTATGCAGGGGTACTGACTGTTGGGTACCGTTTATTCATATTGGGGGTAGGTAGATCCGATGATCTCCTAATTCTGCTCTGGGTCAACAGCAAAGGAATGGAGTCTCTTTGAGTCTGAAAAGTGCATGATCACCCGGCTCCATAAAGAGACAAAGGAAGGACGTAGATGGTATCATTCACTGAGGTGCTGAGAAGTCGGGGGTATACTGAATACCAATCACCATGAGAGCAAACATGTTAAGGTTTGTACAGCAGATTGGTTATCCACATAACAACATGGGTATGTTTTAAAATTCCAGAAAAAAAATCAAAACACAAATTAAGATCTGTAACATATCTATAGCATATTTACAACTAAAAATATATGCATACAAAGAGGTCCTGCCTCCCCTCACACCATTCTCTTGAGAACAACTGAGTTTTTTCTATCCATTAAAGAACTATAGAGAGATATTGTGGAAATCATGGTATCTATGTTCAAAATGCTTTCTTCTTACAGACGTTGATGAATGCCAGGCTATTCCTGGAATATGCCAGGGAGGAAACTGCATCAATACAGTGGGCTCCTTTGAATGCAAATGTCCTGCTGGCCACAAGCAGAGCGAAACTACTCAGAAATGTGAAGGTGGGTGTCTCTACTTTGAGGGATACGGCTAATGGGTGACTCTGAATCCAAGAAAAGCATGACTTCATTTTGAATTTTGAAGAATTTTATTTTGATTATAACTTTAATATTTTAATATGAGAGTGCAGGCATAGAGTAGTTTTGATTGGTTTGTGTATTTAATGGGTTTGATTTGGAAAGGGCCAAGGAGCATTTTGCATCTGGTTTGTAGCAAGAATAGAAGTAATCCAGCCATTTATGTTTTTCCTTAATCGGTTTTCCATTTCACTTATGAAATTATATGAAAGATTAGAATTGGTTAAAGAGAAGTCCAAGTGAAATACAGTGTCATGTGTAAGATGAAGCTTTGGAAGTTGACCCTCTGTCCTATATTATAAAGTAAATATTTAGATTTTGTTTTGAAAATTGTTGTTTGACCAGCTGCCAGAAAATGAGCAGAATTGAATTCAGGAAGGATTTGGAAATTACAGATATGGTCTGTGAAGTAATAGCTTATTACTCACATATATTTTTAAAAATCTAGTAATTTTCAGGAATATGGCTTTTGGATTATAATATTAAACTGTAAATTCCAGCACCTTTCCTAAAATAGAATAAATTAACTTATTACTCTTTTCATCTGCAACCAAAAGCTTAATCATTATTACAAAAATCAAGAAGCTTCTAAGTGTGTCCAGCTTTCATGACCATGGATATTTAGAAGAATGTTGATACTCTAGTCATATTTGAGTATAATGTTTATCTTTTCAGCTATTATGTTACTTAAATCAATTTATTTCAACTACGGTAGTTTTCTAAAAGCAATAGACTATGTCCATTCTTTTGTGGTATGAGCATTCCTATCTACTGAAAGGTGTTTTTTAAAATTTATTCTGGAGATTTCTTTTTGCCAGTCTTGCTTATCAGAGGTGAAAAATCTACATGGGAAATTCGGTAAATCTGCACGTCATCCACCTGCCCGCTATGATATTAACTGGGAACATTTTCCGACTTTAGACTAAGAGTACTGAATGTTGTTATGATCATTTTGAAAAACAAGTTCATTTAGACCCATTTGCCTTCAGTAAATAAAATCATCTTCTAGTGGATATAATGAAGTCTTTCATTTTGTCTCTTTCCAAAAGACAGTATTTGTAGTTTTTTGTAGCTTGGTTAGAAAAAGTTGTGTCCCTCTCTGCAGAAGAAAAAATGGGAGGAGGTAAAATCTAAAATTTACTTATGAAAGACAAGCAGGAATATCTACTATTTTATTAGGATGTAGAATATAGGTGTACATGTTTATTGCTTCAACACCAGAGATCATAATCCCATGAACCCACAGGACATGCATCATCCTATATTTTCTATTTGCCCTGATTGGCTTATAGTCAGCTACAAATTAATCTTCATACTTTTATAGATTTACATTTTACAACTTAATTTCATGGTCCTCCCAAAGAAGAAGCAATAAAATGTGGTTAATTATTTTAAAGACCAAATAAATTCTCTATAAAACTGTTAGCAAGAATGTCCAAGTGGCATATGCTGCTTAAATACAGTATTGATAACCAAAGTCTGCCTATTTTGGAAAGGTTAAGAAAATCAACTTGGAAGATGGGAAAATTATCTGAGTGAGCACAGGAATTGGGTGGAGGAATCAGGGGTTTACACAAAATCTGAGTTGTGCTGCTGTATCATTGTTACTTTTTGTATTTTCTCTCCTGACTTTTTGGGGTTGATTCTATCACTCAACCTTTTGTTTCTCCCCTTCATGTTTTACTTCTGGAATAATATCCAAACTAGATCCAATGGTGGTAGACTTAAGAACAAGCACAGTGTTCAATTCTAGGTGAGAACGTACAGCCACTGACTGATTAAAGTGGTTGTGACATTTCCATTAATCATCGCACAATGCATTTCTTCTTGGTTGAAAATAGAATGAGACTTTTCTACACCACATTTCATCAAAACAACATATAGAGCCAAGACAGGGTTTGGAGAAAAACAGTGCAACTCTTTATTCACACTTGCCTCTATTCTTCAGGAAAGGGGCCTGTTGATGTAATGTAGGCAGCACCCAGAGCCCTGAATCTAGTCGTCTCTTTCCTTCCTTCCTGCCCAGGCAGCCAAATCCATTCAACACTGCCCAGAAACAATTATGTGATTGAATATTTGGGATTAGTGGGGAATAGCAGAACTGGAAGAAGGGATGATGAGAATTTGAAAACAAAGTTGGAAGTCTTTACTCTGTGTATGTCATATTAATTTGGATATCTTAAATATGACCATTATCGATTTTCTTTAGGTAATATTGTTCTTTTATGTAAACGATCAAGTCATATTTCCTTACATAAATCTATCTAATGTCATTGGCAGCATGATGTATCTGGGAAGATGGCAAACTCTTGCTACACACAGTGAATTGTAGTCAGCTTGTATACACAGTTTATATAGCATCAATGTGAAAATGTTGACATAAATTTAAAGTTAGTTATTTGCGCTGAATAAAATTACAACCATAGTGATATCTTTTGACCAAATGTCAAAGGTAGATATTTTAGTTTTTATGTGCATCATAATGTAAATACAAAATATAGTACTATTGGAAGATACATTTTAAAATGATTCCCTTCCTATTTCTATTATATAGCACATACCATAATTCTGTTAGTGTGGCAATGAAATTCTCTAAAGAACTCTTTTTTGGTTTTTAAGTTACTAGTCTGTTCAGAAATAAAAAGGGCAACACCAGTTGCATCTGAGTGATTAGGAAAATAGTGCTAGCATTAACAAGAAATTGTGAAGTTAGCTTATTAACTTGAAAAAAGTTGTGATACCGATTTTGTGTGTGTTTGTTGATTATCTCATACCAACATTTGAGTAAAAAATTTTTTCTTTAATTTTGAGTAAGATCATGAGGACAGAAACTCTATCTTGTTAATTGCTGTATTCCAGAGCCTGGAACTGTTCTTGCTGTATTGTAGGCTCCTAAAAAATACATATTGGTTAATTGGGAGTAGGGTGTACAATAAATTCATTTATTTGACTTGAGTTGAATGTCCAAAAAGAAGGTAAAATGTGGGGCCAGAGTTGAAGTTGTATTTGGAAAGAGGCCAGTGTTCTTCATCGTGGGAATTTTTCCATCATTTGACTTTTCTTTATTTCCTTCCTTATCTTATTTTGCTCAGGTTGCCAGTCAAAGCCAAGAGCTTAAACATTAATGCAGTTTCATTTTTAGGTCTTTCTGTCATTGTCCCTCTTAGGAGTCACCTGCCGGTGATGCTTCTGAGACGAGGGACCTTTACTGTCCCTTAGAAGAACTGTCTTCTGCTGGTCCGTTGGGATGTCGTAACTAAAACTGAAAGGCTTAGCTGCTGAAAATACAAGTTTGAACATAAATAGTTTTTACTAAAGTAAAAAAATGGCGGAGGTGGCATTCATCTTCTGATTTAATGTTTAAAACATGACTTGGTATCTATCTTGAAGCTTGTTTTGTTTTATATCATTGGCCAACTCTCCCAGCCAAGTGTGTGTGTGTGTGTGTGTGTGTGTGTGTGTGTGTGTATTAGAAGAACTGTCTTCTGCTGGTCCGTTGGGATGTCGTAACTAAAACTGAAAGGCTTAGCTGCTGAAAATACAAGTTTGAACATAAATAGTTTTTACTAAAGTAAAAAAATGGCGGAGGTGGCATTCATCTTCTGATTTAATGTTTAAAACATGACTTGGTATCTATCTTGAAGCTTGTTTTGTTTTATATCATTGGCCAACTCTCCCAGCCAAGTGTGTGTGTGTGTGTGTGTGTGTGTGTGTGTGTGTGTGTGTGTCATCCTAAGCAAGAATGAGCTCCAGGAGGGTACACTGATCTCTCCCACTCACCCCCATGTAAAATGGACAGTGGCTTGTAATCAGATGAATTTTGCACTAAGGAATCTGTTTTCCATTATGCATTTTTCTGGGGAGGCAAAGCATTGAGTGACTTAGAAATTTAGATCATACATATTGAGTTAAAATCTAAAATGGAAATCTGAAGCATCTACACTTTTATGAACCATTTGAGAAGGGCATACTGACCAGTTACCAGGCTTGACTTTTAGAAGGCCCCTGTGTGTCTCATGAATGGAAACATCACATCCAAGAAGGTGAGACCAGTGGGAACATCCCGAGGGGCAGTCAAGCCTCAGACCAGAGCTGCCCTTTGAGTCAAAATTGGCACATATCACTTCCTAGTATATTAATCAGAAGTTGCCAATCTAAACTTAGTTTTTTCCTACAAATAACTTCTATTAATACCCACGCAATAAATAACTTGGACTCTCCCTTGGCAGCTTTGGTCCACTAACAGCAGTATTTGCTCGGGAATCCCCAAAATGACATCATTCCCTTAATCGCAACCAAAACGAAATGGTTCACATGGAAAACTGTCCACGTGGTTTCCTAGGAAAGCCTAGAGGAGAAAGAGTTTTTTATTTAAGGCACAATGGGTAACATCACTGTTATGAACATGAAATCTGTGAAAAATACATATTCCAAAAGAAAATCAGTCACCTGAGAAGATACCCTTCAGCACATTCAGCTGGGTTGTGAGTCAAAAGTAGGAATACTCAGATCACTGTGTAACTGTATTTTACAACAAATTAGTTTTTTTAAGTTGTTCTTCCAGCAACAAGAGGAAACCTGTAGAGAGGAATGACAATTTAAATTTTAAGTACAATTCAGAAAACGAATCAGGAGAGAGAAGAGAGCATAGTGGCCAGTAGCGCAAGAGTTGGAACCCAAATGTCAGGGTCTGAGCTCCAGCTACACCATGTGGGAATTGTGTGATCTTGAGCAAATGACTGCCTTTGTCTTTACAATAGAGATAATAATGGTCTCCTCCACAGAAGGTTTTTGAGTATTGCATAAGATAAAGCATTTGACACTTTAGGTCTTTATTAAAGAAGGCAGGGATGGCACAGAAAAATCAATTGTAAAAGATCCAATAAAAGATGTGATTTGAAATCCTAAAAAAGTTAATTACGTTA